GACCTGGTAGACCACCAACACTGTCCCCATCAGATAAACAGCACTTAAAGCTTTCATCTTTGAGAGAGAGGAGAAAATCAAACTGGTTCAGATCTGAAAACATCCACAGGTGTTTCTGTCCATCCTTCCACTGTGAGAAGACAAGATGAAAGAGTGTGTTGCTGCCGAGAACCCCTCGGTGAGAAAAGGAAATGCAACGCTGATTTCAAAGAAGTTGGGACGCTGTGTAAAATGTAAATAAACGTGAATAAAAACAGAATACAATGTTTTGCAAATTTCAAATTCTGGTATGCCACCAGACACATTGACACGGCTCAGCATCTCACTATCCTGGACTATATTAAACCCAGACCACAAATGCGTAGTAAGTGACTTGTATATGTGACTTGAAATTTACATTGAGAAGGGTCAGTCAAAAGTCTGTAACATACAAATGCTGATCGTTTTTCTTTTTCACCTCAACTGATGTCACAGTGTGACTTATTTCACTTTGTACCTTTTACCTGGAAAGCAGCAAAGTATGAGTCAGTCAGCTGATATCAATACCTGTATTTTATTCACAATTGAACATAGAACACATATCAGATGTTGAAAGTGAGACATTTTACCATTTCATGAAAAACATTAACTCCTTTAGAACTTGATGGCAGCAACGCATCTCGAAGAAGTTGGGGCGGGGGGCATGTTTACTACTGTATTTCATCAGCTCTTCTTTTAACAACACTCTGTAAGCGTTTGGGAACTGAGGAGACACTGCTGTAGTTTTGAAAGTGATATGTTTTTCCATTCTTGCTTAACGTAAGATTTTGCTCAACAGTTCGGGGTCTCCTTTGTTGTATTTTTCATTTCATAATGCGCCATATGTTTTCAGTGGGTGATTATGTATGGTTTCTTCTTTGAGTTTTAGAATTTTAACATGCATTTGTGGATGCAGCGACAGACTTTTCATAGACTAGTTTTCAGAAGTGTTTCTGAGCCCATGCAGTGATTTCCACTACAGAATCATTGCCACCTGAGGGCCGAAAGATCTTGGCTAGGCATTACTCGTTTTCAGCCTTGCCCCTTGCATACAGAGATTTCTCCAGATTCTCTGAATCTTTTAATGTTATTATGCACCGTAGATGATGAAAAGCAAAGGTTCTTTGCTATTTTATGTTGAGAAACATTCTTCTTGAATTGTTGCACTATTTGCCCTGCAGTCTTTTACAGAGTGGTGAACCCCTCCTCATCTTTACTTCTAAAAGACTCAGCCTCTCTGAGATGCTCTTTTTATACCCAATCATCTTATCTACCTGTCACCCATTAACCACCGGGTGTTTTTTAGTATTACACAACTTTACCAGACTTTTTTTGCCCCCGTCCCAACTTTTTTGAAACGTGTCGTTGGCATCAAATTCAAAATGGGCAAATATTTTTCAAAAACAATAAAATTTCTCAGTTTCAACATTTAATATGTTGTCTTTGTACTATTTCAATTAAATATAGGGTTTAAATGATTTGCACATCATTGCATTTTGTTTTTATTTACATTTTGCACAGCGTCCCAACATTTTTGGAAATGGGGTTGTAGATTAATCAAGCTGCTGGTGTTCTCAGATCAGTGGACTGACCACCCCAGAGTTCAGACTTCAGCATTACTGAATGTGAGGATTACGTGGATAGTGACAAGCAGAAAATGCTAAACCAACTTCTAAGACTGAACTTTAGAGGTGTGGAAAAATATTTCTGCAGATTTTTTTGAAGAACTGAAAGTGAGTCTCCTGAAAAGAATGGAAGCTGGAATAAAGGCAAGGAGTGGACACGCTTAATACCAAATACTTATACTATGTTTAGTTATTGAGATTTCTGTGTAGTTTCATGTTAAATGTGTTTTCTTGTACTTGTGCTTTATGGACATTTTGACTGGAAATGAAATGACTGCTGTAAATACACTATATGAGTTTATAACTGTAGTATACTCATGGTTTTAAATAATTTAAAAAAAATCTATATTTAGCAATAATTTTTGTCCTCATTTATTGATTTTTCAAAATTCCTTATTGTTGCAGCCCTAACAATAATTTGACACTATCACATTGTAATACGTTCTGTCTTGTCATTGGTAAAGAGAAACTTGAATAGAGGACATGTACAAGTAGGGCTGGGTGTTTTTTATACCAGTACCATATCTAGACTTTGATACCGATTCCTGAGCAGTACTATTTCTGAGGACCTACTTTAAATGACAATCCAGAAGTGGTTGTGGCTTAAATGTGAGGTGCAGACTGAAGACTATTAAACAGTACTGACATTAATAATATACACACAGAATATAAATTAGACGGCCAGTCAGCGGTCTAGATTATAAAACAAGCATGCTCGTTGGCTCAGTGATGCTATTAGGACTGACTGAGGTATTGAAATTTGGTAATGAATGACAGACTTTTTTAATACTTCGTGGTACTGAAGTAATTTGGCTAGAAACACAGATATTGAATTTCCTGCCTTATTCACGAGTGCTGAAAGGCTTTTTGTTTTGAGGAACACCAGGAAATATGATGAGCCAATTATAACAACAAAACTAACAGTCTTTTTTTAAACACACCAGCTTCTTCAGACTTTCCCGCTTTCTTCTTTCTTGCACCTTTTTGGCTCTGAGAAGCTCAGCGTGACTTGCATTCCTAGTCTCCAAAAACCTACTGTGTGTGAGAGAAGATAAATAGTGCAACATAAATTAGAAACAGGTGCAGCCCATTTCCCATTGGTTCTGCTTGCCTCCCTATCCTTCTTAGCTGACTCCTGACTATGTCCTCTCATGAGTGACACCTGAAATCAGCCAGTCATATAAATTGAAAGACTTGAAATACATAACAACAAAAAATGTTTTCATTTGGGTGTAAATCTTTATTTTTTTTGGGTGAATTAATGCTCAGCAATGAGCAGGCCTCACTCCTATAGTGAATCCTATAAGACAAGCTTGTGTACGTGGGAAAATACCTGGATCTGTTAGGAATGGGCATTTCAATCATATTTGGTATGCCACCAGACACATTGACACGGCTCAGCATCTCACTATCCTGGACTATATTAAACCCAGACCACAAATGCGTAGTAAGTGACTTGTATATGTGACTTGAAATTTACATTGAGAAGGGTCAGTCAAAAGTCTGTAACATACAAATGCTGATCGTTTTTCTTTTTCACCTCAACTGATGTCACAGTGTGACTTATTTCACTTTGTACCTTTTACCTGGAAAGCAGCAAAGTATGAGTCAGTCAGCTGATATCAAACCTGAAATTCACTCAATGATGCTGAAAGTTTTATATCATTAAAGAAATATCAGCTTCTTTTTTGTTGATGCTTCTAAGATCAGAAATCCTAATTTACTGTTAGGTTTTTTCATTTTCCTCACTGTTTGAATATTTGAAAGTTCTCAATTATCCTTAACATGTAGACCGACTGGCTTTAAATAGGTGTATCTTCCCCTCTGTCTCTTCAGTGTTTAGTGGGTGTATAATATATTTGAGGAAAAAACAAAAGGATGTGCACTTGGGATACATGTTACTTTACGTAAATAATCAAAAAGAAATCGCAAATTATGCACAAAATAACACGAAAGTACAATTACAGTACATGAATACATTTTCACGATATATGGGACACGGACTAAATTGGACTTTTCAAGGTTAGGGAGCCCTGTTTCCTTTTAGGTGGCAACAATGGAATAATTTTACTGTTGAATTTATGACTTTAGCCTGAGTCATTTATGGTCTCAGATATGAAGATTTCAGCTTTTCTTGTTTGCCAATTTGGCTTCAAAACCTCTTTTCAGTTCATCCTACCGTTGTTCAGTGTTTTAAAAGAATGTCCAGTATCCTCAATATATCTAGAAAAGCGCATCTTAACATACTCTATGTTTGTAGCCACCTGCTCGTCAAGCATTTTGTCTGAAATGAAGGGTATTAAAAGGGAGTTTGACCACCTTTGCTGCAGTAACAGCGTCTACTCTTCTGGGAAGGCTTTACACTAGATGTTGGAACATTGCTGTGAGGATTTGATTGAGCATTAGTGAGGTCAGGTACTGATGTTGGATGATCAGTTCTGGATCACTCCTGCTTATCCCAAAGGTATTGGATGGAGCTCCATCGCTCCAGAGAACACAGTTCCACTGCTCCACAGCCCAGGGCTAGGGGGCTTTATAGCTCTCCAGTCAATCTTGTATACTCCAGAGCGTACCATTCTGCTGGTCATTACTTTTCTGTGGAGATTGTACAGGCTGTGTGTGCACAATTGAAAGCCTGTGTCAACAATAGGTGCACCTTCAAGTACTGGAATTCACTAATTAACAGGGCTGTCTGGATACTTTTAGACATACATTGCAATAACAATATCATATCAGCCACCCCTCCTAATAAGACGTTTCATCACAAACATGGTGTTGATGGATATGTTTGATGTTAAAACACATCTTTTAATACTTGCTGACCTTTGTCCGCTTGACCAGGCTGATATTTAGTTTCATAAGGAGAGCATTAACAAACTTCACGTTGCCTGTGTCATTTAGATAAGCTGGAGAATGTTTGTCTAATCCTTGCCATTCAGCTGGTTTGTCTTTCTTTATCTTGGACTTCATTCATTATCCCAGAGGAACTAAGAATTTTCCATCAGTTCTTTATGGCATTTTCGCCTCACACAGACTGAAGTCTCCACGTTTGTGGAAAGTTCTGTCCTGTGCCACACAGCCCTGGGCCCAGTGCAAATCTATGAAAATCTCACCATGTCTCATGCATTGCCAACATGCGCTGTAGAGGGAATACAAGAACATTCACTGTCTAAGATGGCCTGTGCTTTGTTATGTATTAGCCAGTTTTACTGTACAGGAATAGATTTTTTTTTTTTAATGTTGAAGAACTAATCCCATTTCAGCTAAATCTCAGGAAATATCTTCTACAAATGTGTAGCATATGCGTAGAGAGGAGGGTCTACTTCACATATTTCACTGCACCCTTTCTTTTTTCAGAGTGGAGGAAACAAAGAGCCTTTTCCTGTTCTTTAGAACCCTGAGGTTGTTTTCAGAGAGATGTAAACAAAGAAGTCGCACATTCCAGTACTTCAAGGTAAGATATGCAATAATGTACACTACAAGTGGGCACATTTTATAATACAACTATGTAATAATTCATATGGTATTGTTCCAGTCAGAAATATTGGCCTTATATATAACCAAACAGGCCTATTTAGACCCTGTGTGGTGAGTTACAGCGTATCTGATTGGCTGAAATACATTAACAAGGTTCCACAATGAATCTTTAACAAAATACGTGTAGAGATTAGGATGATTGGGATTCTATCTGTATATTTTCCAAGTCTTAATTTCACTAAAGTCTTACAGGAAAACTATTTGTTTAAATAATGAAAATGAAATGAAAAAACATACAAATATGTGTGTCCAGTCTTTTAACACAGAAGTGGTGCTGGACTAACACCGAAGTGCTATTAGTGGCACCATATTTTTAGCTGGCTGCAGCTGTAATAGAAGAATAGTGTGCGTATTTTTAATGTACTTGACTCATAGATAAGTACAGGTGGTGGTGAGTGTGGAGAGAGGTAGTAAGGCAATAAAGTGCTCTTTCATTTTATTACTACCTTGATTAGGTAGCACAGTCATGGTACCAGACACTCTGGGGACGCCTGGTCACTAGAAAATTTTGCTGCAGCATCAAATATAGAGGTATCTGCTCAGTTGTTGAGGCTTGACAATAGTCATTTGACCATATCTTTTAATCCTTGCTTGCCTCCTGGCCGAAAGTCCGTATTATATGTCCTTATTGTAAGTCCTATTATAACTGCTCATCAAACACACATTAGAATTCACATTTTTTTCGTCCATGTCCTACGTAACTTTCAAAAAGCTGTCATTCCATGAATCCAGTTGCCAATAAAATGTATGATAAATTGCTGTGACGTGTTCTCTCAGGTAAGTTGTGTTTCTTGCTTGGCTTTTTTCTGTGCACCTGATTTACAGCTGCAGCATGTGTCATTCTTTATATTTACATTTTCAGATAACCTTAATTTTGCCTCTTGTAGCTGTAAACAAGAACTAAAGCATTTTATTATGATTAGGGCTGGTCTGAAGAATTTGAATGCTCAGGTATTTGTTTGTTACGTTGGTATTTGTTTCTTTGTTTAGTAGGGCTGCAATAAAATTTCGGCCGGACATTTTTAGAAAAAAATAAGCCTACAGCTACGTGTTAGAGTCGAAAACTTTACAAATAATTTTAATGGTAATGAAAATAAAAAATAGAACAAAGAATACAACAGAACTGCTTAAATTATTCAGCAGCAAAATTTGTGACAAGAGGCTGGCATACGATGATATAAAAGTTTGGTCTGTTATCTCAGATATGTAAGTATAGTGACATTTCTCCAAGTACCGCTTAATAGGTTGTATGTCTTACAGCGTGGCTGTATAAATATTGCATGTATCACCTATATACAATGTTTATATTTTTATATATTTTAATATGGATATGTTTTGAACTGAAGAAGCATAGTTAAAATTTTATTTAATTATAAAATATTGTTGTGTAATGCTTGACAAGAAAAACACCTGGTGGAACATCTCACAACTAATTAGGTTTATTGATAACAGGTTAGTAACATGATTGGGTATAAAAAGAGCATCCCAGAAAGGCTGAGTCCTTCAGAAGTAAAGATGACTTACATTAAAAGTAAAGTATGTTTTTTCCTTCTCCTATCAAGTTACCATTTTGGAGATACAAGGATTTGTTCTGACAGCAGCTTTATGAAGACTTCTAATATTCACATTTCTGTAAAGATAGTGAACATCTAAGATAAGTGGGATTTAAAAAAAAGACAAATGCTGAACGTTTAATAAATTTTATATCAAAATCACAATTTGAAAGAGTGCAGTTTTCAGATTGCAGGAGATGCAATTTCAATTATATCCAAAGTTTTAAGCAGGGAAATTTAACCAAATTGAGCTTTTAAACTGTGATTCTGACACAGTGTATTCTGCTTGCAAGCTTCAAGTCTGAATAACATGATGGGCTGGTCATCTTGGCAAAAAACCAGGCCTGGAGCTTAATTGATAGAAAATACTCATATTTATTTAGAAATATCACAATTAGATATTTTCCCTCAATTTGTTTAGCCGCAATAAAAAGTGTGTCAGGGTTTCTGGCTGGTCTGTTTGCAGAATTATTTTAGATGAATTCTGATGTTGATTCGTAAACCTTACTGTCCTGCAGCAGTGCAGTGAGTATACCAAAGCTGCCCTTGTTTGGTCTGGAAATGTGACTTAGCTTCTTTTTTGTCTTTGGAGACACAGAACAGAAACCAGAGTGAGCTGAAGACTGAAATGCTAACAAGCATTTTAGGAACAGTGCATGTTTTCATTCCTGCTTGGACTTTAGAGCTTTTTTATTAAAAGGGCAAACTATTGTGCTTTAAGTGCACCAGTATTTCCAGAACACATTAGTTTTCCTAAGCTAGCCCCACTTGTGTTCAGGAATTTTAAAGATGGTCCCTGGTGTGACTAATGCAAATAACAGGAGCTGCGTTTGTTCATGCGGCAAAGTACCTGGGGCCACTGGTGCAGACTGAGACCCCGGGGGTAGTCATTTGACCATATCTTTTAATCATAGATGGCTGAGCTTTTCCAGAGCACTACTCTGAGCTTTAGGGCCCTGCATTCTACAGCTGGGGGGGGAGAGTCGGAGACGTGAAGGAAACAACCAGTACAAAGGCCATTTATTAAACCTGAGGCGGTAGTGGCTTAGAGAAAGAGGAACCACACCAACAACCGGAAAATGTCCTTCCTCTGATCACCACTATTCTGCTGGGCAGGGCATTTAACAGCAGGTGGCTCAGATTAATCGAAGAGGTGAGCATAGGTGGGGTTGTTTTTTGGCCAGAGAAAAGAGATGCTTTTCAGGAGGTGGTATGTTGTTAACACACTCCAGTAACACCCAGTTAATCTGTAAGTCACATAATTATTACAGGACTAGAACCCCATGTCCTAACACATATTTTCACCTTTAAAAATATGTGATAGGATGTGAAGATGCACCGTTAATACATGCAGTTTCATCACCTTTTGGCTAAATTCGCCATTTTAAATGCTGAATATGCCATTCACATGAATTGTGTAGATTTGAGAGTCTTTAATTTCAGGAATGGGGGTTCATCTCGGGGCAGTGTCTTCTGCCAGCAGAGAATTCTGAGGGAGAATCCTTCCTCTCCCCTAAACACAGCACAGCCACAGTTCACGGTCATTCAGCCAACACACAAAAGTATTTCATTTTTGTTGGCCAGTCAGAACTAAGATATCAATGCTGAAACGTGAAGAGAGCCACACTTTGTGATCGGTTCAGTTGGTTTCATTCTCGCATGTTTAGATTTCTTACTTCAGTAGCTTTCGAGCAGTGTGTATAAAACTGTTAGTATGTGAAAATTATTGTTAGCAACCACGACGACCAGTTTTCATTTAGTTTGCGTCTGAAATTGATGTTGAACATATTGATTTCTGTGCACTGTAACTGCTATAAGAGCTGAACAGCTGTGTGCAAGTCCAAGCTCTGTAAGCCATTACAAAGCCAGTAGAATAGATCTGAATGGCAAAGTTTTTAGAATGGCCTCTCTTTATAATTATATTACTTCTATGGGGTCTCAAAAAGAGATCTGACTTTTTGCAGACATGGACCTTTGTGGACCTTAAACAACAGATTTTTAATAATAATAACAATATAACAGCAATAAAACAAATAAAACCTATGATCTCAGATGGTTCTTCAAGGTTCTTCAGTAAAGACAGTGGGTCTATACAGAACCATGAACACTCAACCATTTGCATGCTTGAAAGGTTCACTGCCTTGTGAAATGGTTCTTCATATTGATGTAGGATGCGTTCTATATGGTTCTATATTGCACTAAAAAGGATTCTTTTGCTGTTACAAGCTTGACATCGTAACAGTAGAAGAACCCGTTTGGTGCTATATAGAACCCTTTTCAAAAAGGTTCTATATAGAACCATACACAACATGTTGTCCGTCAATCTGATTAAACTTTTTACGATGCAAATAAGCTTTTAAGCATGAAAATGGTTCTGTTTATAAAACCATTGTTCTTACTAAAGAACCCTTAAATAACGATTAAATTTGTTAAGAGTACAGAAAACAGTACAGTATTTGGACATGACCTGTAGTTGCGTAGTTGTTGAGCTCAGTCAACTAAATAAGTTTAGTCTTAAAGTGCTCCAGAATTTCATATTAATCATTAAAATTGTCTCCTAGGATGATGATGCCAGACCCTTCATTGAGTTTTGACTAAAATGGGATTTGTTTGATGTCAATATCTGATATTTGACATAAAATATACTAGATATCCGTTTCATACTTCAGGATGTGGTTTTTCAAGTGTATTCTTTTTGCCCCCTCTGTTTTCACTGAGACATAAGTTAAATGGACTTTATTTAACATGTGAAACAAATTAGCCCCACTTTTTCTTGTGCCATAATTTGCATCCCAGAATACTCTGGCTTATTTTTCTACTTTTGAAGAGTCCTTGAAGTGATTGATTCAAATAGAAGTGATTCAAATAAACACAGAATTCTGTGTAGAATTACTTTGAAAATGTACCGGTCTGTGTTAAAGCAAAAAAAAGAAAAATCTAATTTACAATTTTCTCAGTTTTGTTCAGAGTTTGCTACACAGCTAGTGTAACTAAAAGATACTGGAAGTTTAGCCATAACCAAACCAGTTAGCTTTTTGCAAACTGCAAGGTGCAATCATCTTAAGTCATCTTAAACGAGACCTCCTCATGTGGTTTCTGACACTGTATGACCTACTGTTTTCTATAAGCATGGACAAAAGGACAGACAGACGTCAGCCTTCGAGGTGGATTCTACTATAGTCTGTAGTTTCATGTAGACTTTACACTAGGTGTTAAAACATGGCTGTGAGGATTTAGGCCCAATCCCATTTAACCCCCTGGCCCCTACCACTTAGCCCTACACCTTTGTTTTGCACGTTCACTCCTAGGGGGTAGGGTGTCCCCATTCTTGTTGGGAAAGAGTGAAGTGTTAGGGCTACTTGGCCCTCCAAACTGAGGTTTTTCAGAGGCACACTTCAAACAGAGTGTTATGAGAGATCAACACACATCAGTAAATTAAACACATTATGTGTGTAAAACAAATGCGTTCATCAAATGTTAACATTACACACACTAGCTAGCGTGTTGTGTAGCTAGGCTAACAACAAAAAATCTTGTTTGCCATCTATCCTACGTACCACAAACCAATCCACCAGCATTCCCAGACGTCTTCATTTTCGAACAATTCTCCGATTTGCTGCAGACAACTGAAGAAAGATGCTTGTTGGCATATTGGAAATGTCCAGCAAAACTTGTCACGTCTGTTTACCCAAAAGCCATCAACAACTAATGATGGTGTGTTGGGTCCTTGAAGGATTGGGTTGATCCTATTTCTTAGGGGAGAAATTCAACCACTATCCCTTGTAACTCAGTTTGAATGGTCAAAGTGACTCTCGAAAAGAAGGGGTAAAAATAAGAAATGGAATTGGGCCTTAATTGGATTAAACCACAAGTACATTAGTGAGTTGGCAGTGCTTTTCAGTGGAGATTATTCAAGCTGTGTGGTGATTTTCCTGATGTTTAAGGCCTAAATGTGAATAAGAGTAGTAAACCTCTCCATGGGTTTCCTGATTTCTAGACCTCCACAGTTGCCCATGTGTGTATTGCATACAAATGACACACTAGAGAAGGGACTTCTGAAAAAACATGAGTTTTAAAGTGAGGCAGATACTCATTTATTTAGTATTCTTACGCTTATGGTTCATCACTTTCACTCAGTTTTCATTGACATTAAAATATTTTTTTAGTTTTCAAATGTAAAACCTTGCTGTAGGCCTTTTTTAATCTTTTGGTGCATCCCTATGATTTTTATTGATTGTATGATTATCGGACACATGTTAGTTATTACAAACGACCCCATTGTTACTATACATTAATATAAATATGCAAATACAGTAAAACATAAGAATTTCTTGTGTTCACTAAAATTATTGATACGTTAGTTTTGAAAAATACAGTTCTGCACTCTGACCTTCACATGAATTTGTTCATCAGGAACACTTGATTTAATTTGATGAAAGATTGATTAAACTAGTATTCTGTGGTACCTGTAGATGCTGGAGATCTTGAGGAGAGCTATAGATAATTTCTCATGTGGCTCAAGGCTTTGCATAGCATTGTAAAGACTTCAGAATGACCCTCAGTGATCTGAAGTTATTTAGATGTGTGTGAAATATTTCTGAATGTATTTATAGATTCCTCCACAGTGCACAGGCCTCAGAGGTTTGGTAGGTCTGAATAAGATCCAGCAAAGATGAGTGATGATAATTTAAGAGGAGTACACGAAAAATTCTTCTGAAATATGGGGAACAGCTTAACATTAATCTTCCCTTTATGAGGCTTTCTTGTGCACTTTTTCTTTCTCCTGACAGTTTATCGTGTTGCTAATTCTTTAGCTCATAATAGCTACTTTGTGATGCCTTTGTGATGTTGAACGGGATTGCTCAGGATATGGTTTATGTCAAAATAGGAACAAATTCCATGACACGATGGCAATGAAAATTTGGACGTGAAGCTGCAGAAGCAATATGGAAACCATTCCATTATTTACTTGGAGCGTACAGCTGAGATGGTTGCCAATTTGGCCAGCAGAATGGAATAATATTAACCCACATTTTCCAGATCCCTTTGCGTGCACAACTGAAGAGTTTGCTTTGCAGTTTATGGAGATTTGTTTTTATGACTACTTAAAATGAGTTTTCTCTCTCTTAATGCAAAGCATTCTGGTAGTGATTTCATAACGCACCATGGCAAAAAAGGAATGGAGGCATAGGTTTAAAAAAAAAACCTTAAGATTTATTAAAATAACTACAGAAGACATAGCATAGGGATTTAATATAATGCATTACTGTACAGCCTACTTGATGATTCACACATAGGTAGTAATCACTATTGCATCACATAAATAGTTATCAGAAAATTCAAAGACAGTTATCAGGATAGACTGATAGATCCTCGTAGAAGCACATATAGGGTAAATGCTTCACTTTTCATTCTTACTTAACTTAGTAAGTTTCTTAATTTCAACCAGAGTAAGACTTCTCGAACAGTACAAATGAAAGTGATTCACATAATTCAGAGGAATGCTGGAAGTTTGAGTCCAGCTGGTATGGAAGCCATGAATGTACTATGCAGCAGCTTTCTTTGGAAGGGTTATATACACACTGGATATACTTTGTTTAACTTCCATTTACAACAGTAATAATAGAAAGCCAGGGAGCTCAAGAGACAGTTTTGACACTTACGTAATATGGTAATCAAGTTGTCGAAAAACGTTTCACGTACCCTGCTTTTGCTTCATTATGGCAAACTGGATATGAACCAACCTTCAGTCCATATTCGTAGGCATTTGAGGCATTTTCAGAGACTAATTTTTCAGAGACCATGTTTAATTTTAGTTTATGTCTGTATGACACATTTTCATTGGTACCGTCCAATTGGCAAAGACTGGAGACACGTGAAGCTGTTGGGGTACTGTGCAAGGACGACAGGGTTCCCATCCATCCTGATCTCATTCATGTTGGGGCGAATGTAGTAGGTGTCGTTGCTTTTGCAGAAGGTGTCGACAGTAACAGTTGAAATGTTGTTGTTCTGGACAAAAGAGAAGAGAATAGTTATTGCAGATATTCACATTTATGCTTTTTTAAACTCTCAAAAATAAAGGTTCCTAAAAGGTTCTTGGCTTTGAAGTACTGTTCTAGGAGAAATCTTTAATTGGTAAATGACCTGTGCAATAGGTGATAGATCGATTTTTGCCTTGGACGTACAGTTTTAGGAAAAACCTTGCATTGACATCTTTACATTGTGTTGAGGTTGTTTTAGAGTAAAACATTTAAACAGTCTTGGCTTATATGTGCTGTTCTAAGAAAAGGCTCCTGAATGGATCTTGGATGTACAGTATATGGAAAAATGGATTGGTAAAAAAAAATTATGCGAAGGTTCTTTTAAAGTATATGCTCCTAAATGGTTCTTGGACATGTAGTTTTAATAAAAAAACACTAAATTGGTAAAGAAAAACACAAAAAATAAATTATATTAAAAGATTCTTGGCTATGACTTTTTAATGTTGTAAGAAAAACATTTAATTGGTAGGGAACTCTTTTATGGAGATTATTTGAAAGAAAAGGTTCCTAAAAGGTTCTTGGCTTGGACATTCTGTTGTAGGAAAACAACTTCAGTTGATGTAGAACCTTTACATTATGTGGAGGTTGCTTCAAAGTAGCAATTCCTAAATGGATATTGGCTTAAATGTGCTGTTTTAGAAAAAGTTTCAATTGGTGTAGAACCTTTACATTTTTTGCAGTTAACATTTTTTTTAAATGGTCCTTGGATCGAATATACTGTTCTAGGAAAAAATAACTTTTATTGTTGTAGAACCTGTATATGGAGGTTCTTTTAGTTTGAAACTGTTCTTTAAAATCACATATTTACAAAAGTGGTTCTTTAATGAACTGTTCAAAAATTGGTTCTTCTGTGACGTCACTCCAAGGAACCTTCAATTTTTCAGAGTGTAATATTAATTTAGCACTCTAAAATGAAAGCACTGGCAACTCAAAACAATACATTTAGCATAAGAATGAACAATGAGGCAGGTATACGTTTGGTATTTGTGATTAATATAAATATGATTTAATCTATTATACAAGATTTTCCACACACAGCATTAGTCATTTACCTGAAGGTGAAGTATAGACACGCTCTCTGGAATCACTGGAACTGCCTCCAACTGATTGTGCGCGAGATAAAGATTTCTGAGTTTGGTCAGTTTCTGTAAAAGAACATTCAGCACAGATGACTGGTCAGACTTAGGATTTGAGGGATTTTGTACTTGGACATTAAACCAGGCCTGAAACTTCAAAATGTTCTTGGCTGCTCTTTCTCAACCCTGTTTGAGAGTAATAATGTATTTATAGCATAGAAACACAGAGTTGCCTGTTCAGCTTGTTGTTCTTTCCTTGACGTTCAAACAGATGTCTAATGTCTGCTTCATCGGGAGGGTGAAGTGGAACCATGTAAGGCATTACATAATTCATGGCACTGTACCTTGAAAGCATTCGCCTTGACTCCTTTGGTCTTGAGGAGGTTGTGATTGGCGTTGAAGGAGGTTAGCTTGGGTGGTAACATCGGGAGCCTCACCAGCTGATTCTCAGCAAGGGTGAGTTCCTCCAACAGCGTGAGCTTTGAGAAGGCCCCGTCCTCAATCTCAGAAATAAGGTTTCCAGTCAGGTCGATTCTTTTCAGAGTAACTGCAATAGACAAAGGAAAAAACAAGTAAAGCCTTATTCACAGTCGTTTAGGTCATCTGTGTTCCTTTTTATGAATGCAAATAATAATGTAGCCTTATTTAAACTAGCTGTCTGCAAGTGCTCCTTGAAGAAACAGCTAGTTTTTCCAAGTAGGGGTTGTTTTTTCTTCTGCAATGCTTCAGACAAAGTAGATAAACACATGTACTTGTTTTTCCTAACACACATCCTGCATCACATAGTGCAGTTTACAGATGGGATCATTTATTACAACTCGCAAGACGTCTGGAAATCTCTGAGGTATGGTCTGGTTCAGTGATATAGTGGGCTTTGTGAATTCCTTGTTTTAAATGCGTTTTTGTCAAACGCTGCTGTTTGTCTTCTTCTTTCCTGTTTATAGAAGTCTGAGGAGTTATTCTGTAGGGTAAACAGGCAGAAAGGCAGAGATCTCTTTTTCACAGACTAGGGCAGAACTTACCGATATCGCCAAAATCTTTTTGGGTTATCTTCTTTATCTTGTTGTAACGCGCATAAAGATAGGCTGTCTCTTTGGGAAGAGCTGGCACTGATATCATATCAGGATCAACTTCCTCACAGTACACTGATCCAGTCAAGCACACACACAGCAGGCAGGTAGGAAGGTCTGGAAGGTGATAAAACAAAGTTCTTGTTACGCTTTATTACTACAGTATTGCACTACGCCAGGGGTGCCCAGACTTTTAGTCTTGTGCAATGCAGTTGGTAGAGCAAAAAGACAAACAATATACATATAATGAAGATACGGTAGGTTAAAAAGTGTCATTTTAAAAGGAAAATAAGAATATGTTATATATACTTAAAATATGGGTCCTCTAATTAGCTTAAGGGGAGGAGTTAGAGTAGCTTTCTGGTGGGCCAAATCAAACGTCCTCTCTTTCGGCAGCCAAAATGTAGAACGACATAAAATAAACAGTTTTGATTTCCTGATGATTCTTGTCTGAAAAAGAGATTTGTGAGTGCGAGGAACTTTTCAAAGGTTTAAAGGCACTATACCAACTTTTCTAAAACCTTTACATTAATTAATTAAACCTTTACATTAAACTTTAAAAAGGTTCTTCACACTCACGTATCTGCTTTACAAAAGGGGGTTCTCTAAACAACTAAATGGTGAAAAGTTCTTCAGTGAAGCAAAAATGGTTCTTTTTTGACATTGTGCAAAAAAACCCTTTGTTGCGTCTTTATTTTCAAGAGTTTATACCAATTTAAGGGTTATTCCTGAACCTTATGTGGAGGTTCTTTAAAGTTGAAAAAAGGGTTCTTTTTTTTCTTTTAATTTTTACCCGATTTTCTCCCCAGTTTAGTCGTCTCCAATTCCACCCGCTAGTTAAGACTCCCCCAATCACACACAACGCTATCAACGCTAGGAGGGTGAAGGCTAACACGGGCTTCCTCCGAGACCTGTGAAGTCAGCTACCACTTCTTTTCAAACTGCCGCTCATGCAACGTCATTGGACAGCTGAACGCGCTCGGAGGAACGCGCCAACCGCCAGATCTGTTACGTCAGCTAACAGACGCCTGCGCTGACTAGCATCGCGCTGAGTGAGTGATGGGGAGAGAAAGGCAGCCATCCCACCCACCCAGAGAGAGCGAGGCCAATTGTGCTCTCTCGGACTCCCGGCTACGGATGGCTGTAGCATCACCAGGGATCGAACTCACGATCTCCTGATGATAGGGCCAACGCTTAGACGTTTGCGCCACTCGGGAGCCCTTGAAAAAACGATTCTTGACACTCGCATATCTCGATTGTAAAAGTAGTTCTTTAAAGAACTATCCATTGAAAGGTTTTTTTAATTAATCGAAAATGGTTCTTTTCTGACATACTGTTAGTATGCTAGCATATTTTTTCAGCTCACAGACTTGGCAGCCTCCAGGACTGTTAGGACACTTTTTGTAGAACCTGACTGATTATGTTTTAGCACCGATAGTGATTTTGAAGAGTTAAAAATTGTGATAACCGAGAATGTTGGCCGACATAATTTTATATGGTTGGTAAACAGACTATTGGTTTTATTTATTTAACTGTTTTACTCACTGCCTGTTTTTTACAAAGTCTTGAATATAAATATTCATAAATATGTTTATATATGGGTGGAGCTTCTTTGAATTTTTAGCGGTTTTGTTGGTTTCTGTTCATTAGCACTTCGTTCTCTTCACTTTTGCGAAGATGTCATTTTCATGCTAAAGGTTAGATTTGGCTGCATTTTGTGATGTTTCTCAACGACGATGGTGTTTCGAGTGATGTATTAGTTCATTTATTTGCTCCTGTTATTGACGTTAAATGCATGTTGTAGTTATTTGCACTTGGGCTGCAACTAACAAGCTAAATGTAAGCAGCTTATTTGTAAAGACTTTGCATTAGATCTTTAAAGTCATTGTAAATTAGCATTTACGGTGTTCTTTATCATATAAAACAAGTGCCCTGAAAACAATATCGGTGGGTTTTTACTAGTATTGATAAATAATACATTTTATCAGCCAACTAATATATTGGTCCGGCCCTACAGTGCACAGCAGTTGTAATCTGCTGCTTTTGGAGAGGTGATGAGTGCCATCACTGCCTTACCGGAAGCATCCCCCTCACCAGGGCTTGGCACAGAGTTTTCCGGGGTGTCGGCAGGCAAGACAGCACTGGCTTCATCATTTTCAGTAGTGAATTCTATCTGTCTCTGTAAGGCAAAAATGAAAGTGATCACATGAAGCATACAGTTGTCCTTCTGCAGCCTTTTTGCGTTTTTAGAGATGCAGGTCAGTGCTTTATATCTTTATATACCTCCTCATGTTTTTAAATAACAACTTTGCTTAAAGGTAAGATCCCTTTTCAAAAGTTACTTTCCAACTTCCTCAGGCTTTAGGGCTGGATTTTAGTGCCTGTCAGGACCTGTAAGACTCCAGGTGTCTATGAGAGTTTTCAGCACCCCTGGGTTAGGACGGAGCTGCTATGTGGGTGGGAGTGCTTTAGCCTGAGGAAACTCCTTTGGAGCTCAATAGCAGTGCTGAGTAATCAACTTGAGTCCGCACAGCACTTAGCCAACTGCTGGAACTGAGTTAGATTAGGACTTATCAATCTTCAGTGTTTATTTTAACAATGCGAAGTCTGGTTTGCAAAATGCTAATGAACTCGTCTGACTCATCAGTGTAAGAGAAAGTATGAAAATGCACAGATGGGCAGGCAGAATTGTAAACTTACCTTTAGTCTAAAACATTTAGATTGTTATAGTAGTAAAGTGCAAGCTCTTTGCAAATGTTTTCCCATGCTTTTTTTGTAAAACTTAATTTGCATTGTCTTAACTAATTGAATACGTTTTGTAAATACCATAAGCACATACAGGCATACATGCTTTTTAATGTAAAAAAGTGCTTTGTATATTAAGTATTCCAGATCTAAAACTTATGTTAATACTTACTTTAAATAGTTACCTTAAATAATAATGTGCTGTCCAATACATTAATGTTAAAAATGGCTTATTTACAGTAAATGTTCACAGCACAGACCTTTACTGCTTACAAAGTTCATACTGTAAAAAGTCAAAAGAGTGGTAGTATAAATACCTTTGACTTCTTTGTCTCCAAATGCACTTCTTCCATAGGTAGTAGATCCTCTTTTGTGAGCAGAGACTTTTGGTAGTAATGTGTCCCTGAGGCTAAGATCACCCATGATGCAAATATAAAAGTGTAAATAAGTGTTCTCAGTCTGGTACCCATCGTGTCTGAACGGTCCGGGATGTGTTCCCTGCTCTGTTAAAGCGTAAGACAGCAGCCCAAGCGGTGGTTGGCTATTTTCTTGGTGCCTGTGAGTAAAATGTGATCTGTCAAATCAGTATTTAAAGCTACATGAGTAGCTGCCAGGGGATTCTTAAGCAAGAGTTTATGGAACAGACCTTAACCCTTTGCATTCTGTCTGGTCAGATCAAATCACTGTGTCTCAGGCAGTGTCTGGCCATGTTTGTGGTTTGAAGAAAAATGTGTTCTGTTTAAACAGCCAGAGACCTGAAAGCAATAAAAAAGGCTAGTCACTTTTGTAGTGCTCTGGAGTGCTGGCTGATAATCTCATTTATTTAGCACAGTGGAATTTTTCATGGTGTCTTGGCTTTTCTAACAAGATGTCTTCATTAATCATTTATTGGCTCCACTACGGCACCTTTCGCTAACCTGGTTTTATTAGATTCACCAGAATTGACATTAAATGAATGTTACGGTAATGTTGCACCAAGGCTGAAACTTACAATTATTTCCTTAATCAATTAATCAACATTAAATTATTTAACACTATACACAGTTTTTTTTAATGAAAAGCATTATTTCTGCTATTGCTCTTTCAAAAATCAAACACCAACTCTGACTCCTAAAGTCTACAAAAATTAGCAATTTTCTCTCATGTTTCTGATAATGTTATTTTCGTCAATGAGTGTGTTTACATGCACTTAATAATCCGATAACTGCAGAAAATCAGATTTTGTCAGTATTTCGGTCAATGCGTTTTTTTTTTGAGTAATTAGATAATAAGGAAACTCCAGGTCTACATGAGTTGGGCAGTAATTGCTTTGCAGCCAGCCAATAAACTTGTGAAAATGATGTGACGAAACGTAATGCAAAACTCAAACTTCATGCTGCAGCTTTTTTAAAACTCTCGAGCCGTTTTACTTGACAATATGAACATACATCATCTAAAAGACGAAGAATATTTAAATCCTTAATTTTGTCAAGCATATAGTTGGTTTCAGCGTCGCTCCAGAAGTGTTTTGCTGCGTCTCGCGGCAGCACTGCTTGCTTACTTCTGGCTCCGCAGTCTGTTTTCGTACATGCACAGACTGAGAAATCCGAAAGAAATCAGAGTAAGAGTTTACATGCAGTGAGAAATCTGATTACTGAGCTAAAATCCAGCCTCTTTATCAGATTTCTTAATCAGATTTCTAGACCTTACTCCAATTTAAGAGTGTGCTGTTTACATAACCATTTGAATGATCGGATAACTGCAGAAATCTGATTACGATCGGATTATTGAGTGCATGTAAACGCACTCAGTGTGAAAAATGTGATTAGCAGCTATGTTAAACACAAACTGTCTTTTTAGATGATGCTAAAAAGATTCCATGTACGATTCTGTGCTGTATCTGTATTTTCTATTAATTATGCTATGTGACATTAGATGGGAAGTGTAAACATTTTCAGGCCAACTAATATAAGATTTGTTGCCAGCTGTTGTTTATTCCCGCTATAATCAGTGTTGTTGTCACAGCCCAAGTTTGCACTGTTCTGTGAGGTTTCAAGTTAGTCTTGACAAAATGTAGCAGCAGCCAGATTTCGTGTATAAAAAGCACTGTTCATCATTGCTGTCACACTTAACATAAACCTTGCTTCAGTGCAGTATTCTGTAGATTTAATAAGTGGTTTATTGTGACTTGCCTTCACCCATTTTACCCAACATATCTTTACACTAACTGCATAAAATAGAGAAAGGAGAGCAGACTGCTTTTAATAAAGACACAATTAAAACAAAACATGTTTAATGGAGAACACATGATTTGTATCCCCCTCTGCGTACCTCGGGACGAGATGAGAAGGGCCTCTAGAAATAAACATTCGAGGGATGGAAACAAGTGGACTGAAACTGAGGCCTGTTACAGGTGTGTTAGCAATTATAAGAACTTGTAAAAATTTACTATGCCGGGAAGAGTGCCAAGTACTGGAAAATGTTTTTACAGTGCTAATATTCTGTAGTACATTTTTCAGTCAGGGTGGCATAGTTTGGTTCTTCTCATCTCAGCACCAGTGGTTGGGGTAGTTTGTTCATTACAGATTCATATGTGATAACATGCACAAGAAAACTAGGCTCATTGATTGATTAGGTTGAACAAGACTCATAAGATGTGAAACTTTCATGATGTGCTTTATAGGTGGAGCACTTATCTTTATAAAACAGTGTGCATGAAGTGGCATCAGATTAATATTCGAATGTGAAGAGATTGTTGTAAATTGCTGCAAATTGATGCAGATTTTGTTACATTTGATGTTTGCTGCTTCCAAATGTTGTTATTTTCAATGACTATTCAAACAGAGGATCTTAATTAAAATTCAGATCCACTTATACACTTTTTTGTATATTATAAAACATCTGAAGGTTTTTATAAAGGTCTTTCAAGAACTCAGCAAACTAATCTTAATGTTATCATGCTTTATTTGGAGTCTCATAAGGATTATCTCCAGATGCTCAAACTGTAAGCAAAGCAGATAGACTGAGTTCAGGTCAAACTCAGCACTTTTAGGATTAGGGTCAACTTTATGATTGAATATAGGTTCTGGGGTGAAGTTGAGGCTAGGATTAGGTGTAGAATTTTGGTTGAAGAATAATATCAGGTTCAGTTGCATTCATGTCCAGTTACATTTTTTTGGTTTGACAGAATTTATGATTTTATATTGTTTTCATGTTTTCTTTATGCAGTGTCCTCTCACAATACTGCGTATACAGCTGTCGACGCATTTCTCGCAGGAAACTTTTAGACAGAAATAGAATAGCTTCTTGTAAAATGTCTCTCAACGTTGAACGTGAAGCTGACTTTAGCTTTGCGACTTTTTAGTGTTTGACAGTTTCTTGCTACAGATTAAATTTATCAGGAAACCAGCTGGAGTGATTATAAATGCAAATAAGTCAGATCGTCTTCAATTTATAGATGTTCATCTTAAATCTCTCTCTTTGTCTTTTCATTAGCTACTAGCTAGGTGAGACTGTTGTTCGTGTTGCTGTGGTGACCAACAGTCTGTAAGCCGATCTTCAGGGTTAAAGCGTGAATTAGCAGTTATACGTTAACTCCAGCGTTTAAGACCATTTATTGTTAAAACTGTATTAAAATAATGAGCAGAGCTTTATTTTACTGCAAAGGAAGATTATTTTATTTTTACCTAAAAATCTAATTCTGCTGTGGAGCCACAACAGGGCAGGAACAGACCGACATGTTGCTGACCCCTGGCCTAGCCACACATACAGCTGCAGTATAATATTCAGCATCATAACTGTAACTTCAGCTGTCTATCTTTCTGTATTTGCAACCCAGCAAAAGAAAAAAAAATCAAATCACCTCACTTCCCCCAAAATCCACCCCAAAGCAGTTGTAATTTTTTAACAGTTCCTCCTACCAAGATATATCATCAGCTTGAAACCATTTGAATGAAACTGAACTTGAGCTTTCCCAGAATAATATGCTTTGATTCCAATTTTTGTAGTGTAGAGTTGTTTATTCTTGCTTTTTTGACAAACAGCATATGTCGTAGTCTGAATAGAAAAGTGAATGCAGACCAATGCTAGACCAGTGGTTATTAAAATTGTCCAGGAGACCTCACTACCTGTAGAGTCACCCATATCTGACACGTAATCACATTAATCATGGTCTTCTGAGGAGACTGATTACTAGAATGAGGTGTAGCAGATAACAGTTTGAACTGAACTGAATATTAAGTTAGAACCTGACAGGAGAAGGGTTGATGTCGACTGTCCCAGACCAGAAATTCTCTTTCCCGCAAAAGACCCACAGTAACAGGGCTAGTTTTGTTTTAAAAATGCCATTTATTAAGAATTCAAACAACCTATGCATATGTTCCCATCGTTATTTGTTTGAAGGAATAAATGCAAAGACAGAATGCACTGGGAAAGATAGAGAGCCTCCCTCTACAGTTCAGTACAGAATGTGAGGAGTTTAGGTGCTTCTGCTGCCTCTGTTGTGACTTTTAAGTCATAGACACCAATGCAATCATTAAAATTCTTTATTTATTTCAGAAACATTTCAGAACCTGCGTTAGACTTAACAGTTGACTCATGCTCCCCTGCCTGACCTCCTCATGCTTACATGCAACAGCATGTATAGCAAGTGGGTGTTGAAATGTACACTCTTAAAAAAGATGGTGTTTTTAGTGTTTTTAGTAAAGACAGTGCTTTTATATAGAACCATGAACACTAAAAGAACCCTTTGTATGATTAAAGGGTCCTTTGCGTCATAAAAGGGTTCTTCAGATTGATGTGCTGTAGATGGTTCTACATAGAACTTTTTTGAAAATGGTTCTATATAGCACCCAAAAGTGATCTTCTATTGTTATGGTGTAAAGCTTGTAACCCTTTAATCATGCAAAGGTTGTGTTCATGGTTCTACATAGAACCATTTTCTTTCCTAAAGAACCCTTGAATCCTTTTTAAGAGTGTAGTATTGCATCACATTGGAAGGTCTTCAAAATATCTGAACTCAAAACTTAATCCAGACCAGATCAGATAATAGTTCCAGACTTTAACTGCAGGATGAAAGGTTAAGATACTTATCTTCGATGTAAATCCATTATTAAAAGATTATTTTGTCTACATATTTCACAGATTTAAATGAAATATTATTAGTATATAGCTGATGTCACAGGTGAGAGTGTATTTGATGAACTAACTTCCCACACTAGCATGAATAGTTGACATAGTTAACTTGGCTAGATAACGTGGCTAAGTCTACCATCATTTTGTAACATTACACTGTCGTTTATGACTATGAAACGTAGATGACGGGTCATATGACACCTTATGGCATGAGTGCAATGAGAAACATCAAAAAATAAAAATGGGGCATCCTTTGAAAACACTGTGGCATATCACACTCTGATGATTGTGTAAACAGATTCGTTGACCATAATGGGACCGTTCTGGTTTTGTCAATGTCACTCACTTCACTTGCTGTCAGGAGAAGGTATTAAGGCCTGTCTTTGAGTCCAGTTTCTAGCACCTTGTTGAATCTGTGCTTTGAAGAATTCAGGACACTCTAAAGGCAAAAGCAGGTCCCACCCTATCCCTAGCCACTGAGTGTATGTCGGAGCACTCTTGAAAAAAGAAAGTGCTATGAAAGGTTCTTTGAGTGATGCCATAGAACCACTTTTGGTCCTCTTAAAGCACTGGTTCTCAAACTGGTCCTCAGAGGCACCAGATGATTTTTGCTGGACCATCTGTGGCAAGGTGTTAAAAAGTCCAAAAGACCCCTTTTAAGCTGTTACAAACCTTCACATGTGTTCTTTCTAGAAACTTTGTTATGTGGAGGTTCTTTCAACTTTTAAAATGTCCTTTTCTTACTGATCGATTTTACGGAGCTACAAAATTCCGATAATATAAACCAACATATATTCACGCGAAGCCACATCCTCAAGCACAATTCTTAACTTGCATTTCCATTCCATTTTTTTTATAGTACCACGTAATATGGAAGTATTTCTGTGTAAATCCAAGGTAAATTAAATCATGCACATGCAAGAAGGGTTAAAGAGACAAATATTGAATGTTTACATGTTGGGTGACACTTTATTTTGAGTGGTCCTTTTTCGATTAAACACTCAAAAAACTCAGTAAAATGTGAAAAAAAAGGGATGGGGTTAGGACTAGGTTTTTGGGTTGAGGTTAAGGTTAGGATTAGGGCCAGGGTTAGGGTTAGGTTTTGTGTAATGAAAGTAAAATATTAACAGTACATCTACTCAATGTAAGTAATGTTTGAACAGAACATCCACAAGATATTTACTTCAATGTATTCAGATGCTTCACTACTGCTACTTCACTGATACGTTGTTGATGTGTTACTGATAATCTGAATTTATTTATCATCTACAAAGGACCATTCCAAATAAAGTGTTACCCAATACTGTTGTGTGTCTTAATCTGATATATCTATTTTATAATATGTTTCAGGAACATAACTTTATCATAAATCGTTTTTAAATAACATCATCAAGCTTGAATATGTTTGTTATTTTGAAGGTTCATCCTCATCGGGCTTCTGTTGTTCACCATAAAAAATCATTCTCATCCTTGGGAAGCAGCTGAAGGCATAGTAGTCCACAGATCCTCTAAGCTTATTGTTGTCAATGCGAATGTAGGTGAGCATATTAGGGTGGTCCTGGTTCACTGATGGGCACATTAGGGAAACATTCAGCTCTGTAATGAGAAGAGAAATAATAATTACATTAGTCATGTACTGTTTTGTCATCATTACTATATTAAACTCTGCACTTCAACCAAACTCTGCAAGTTCAACCAAAAAAAGCCTCCTTCAGCTTAAACCACATTTTGCACGGAGTCCTCACTGAAGGCTTCCTGAGGTCTACGATGAACACGATGCCTAGCATCATTCACATACAGGCAGAAACGAGATTCATCTGACCAGATAGCACGTTAACAGTTGTGAACAGTCCAGTTTTTGTGTCTCTTTGCCCACAGTAACCCAAAAGTGAGCAAAGGCCTCTTGCGTGCCACTCTGCTACATATGTTCATGGTATGCAATTCCCTGTAGAGTGTTCTTTCAGAAATTGTTGTTGTTGTTGTTGTTATTATTATTATTATTATTATTATTATTATTATTCAAATATTTTTATTGCCTTTTTGAATGTAAACAACGTACAACATGTATGATCATACAATCAACAAGACCGCACCTACACGAACACACACACACACACATAGACAAAAAAAGAAGTATTTTCTGTTACAGTGATTTTCCATGAATTAAAGCCTAAATACGTAGTTCTATTTACCGGTACCTCTAGCAGAAACAGTAAAAGTTGTCTAAAAATGGTTGCCAAACCTTATGGAATCTTTGGGTGGATCCTCTGGTTGTTTCTTGTAAAGGGTTGGTTGTAAAGGACCTACGTTCTGCGACTTCTAGAAGCAATTCCTGCCTAAAAGCGATACAATTTATATTCACAAGCTGTGAAACACGCAGACGGTCCCTGTTTGTCAGTTTCGTTATTTGGCCACAGTTCTGATGAGAATTTCCTGTAGACTGTGATTTTTGCCACTGCTGGTTGACTCATGTGACTGTACGCTTTGATACTCCTGAGAATTCAGCTACTTCCTTTACACTATAGGGCACACCCAATTGGCACACCCAAATGCAATTACTCCTTTTTGCCAATCACTAACGTCTGCTTTGCGACCTATTTTTCACACGTCAAACGGACTGCACTGTACCATCTGTGAATCCTGTCACACACCCTGCAGGTATTTATAGCTCGATCATCCTTGTGTAATGCCATCTGCAGGAGCCTGAAGTTACTACCACCTTAAACACACAAGGTGACTAATTTTTTGTCTGGGTTCATATAGAACAATTTTTTAGCAATACATGTTCAGTTTAATAATTCAGTAAGAATTCTAAAAATTCAGTGGAAGAATGAAGCTAGATTTTAGCTGCCAAAACTATTTATATACACTTTGCCTGCATAAACGCACAACATGTATCTACATTGAAATGTACAGTACCCTTCACTAATATTGGCACCCCGCATAAACATGAGCAAAACCGGCTGTAGAAAACATTCTTTATTGCTGATCTTTTTGTTCATTCATTCAAAATATTAACAAAAGTCTAAGCTTTATTTAAAGTACAATGGCTGACAGAAAAAAAAAAAACAATCTTATCATGAAAGAAATATTTTTCTCAAATCTTTGTGTTTCACAGTTGTTGGCACCCTTTAATTCAGTACTTGTGCTGCCTCCGTTTGCAAAGATAACACCTCTGAGCCTTTTCTTGTAAAGCTTAACGAGACTGGAGAACACATGGTAAGTGATCTGAGACCATCCAGAATCTCTCCAGGTCCTACCGCTTCTGAGGTTCACACTTGTGGACTCTCTTCTTCAGCTCTGCCCCCAGGTTTTCTATGGGTTTAGGTCGGGGGACTGGCATGGCCATGCCAAAATCTTAATTCTGTGGTCAGTGAATGATTTTTGATTTTGAGGTGTGCTGTGGATGATTGTTGTGCTGGAAGATCCAGCTACAGCCCAGTTTAAGCTTCCTGGCTGAGGCAAGTTTTGATTTAATATCTACTGGTTCTTGATGGATTCCATGATACTGAACAAGTTGTCCAGGGCCTCTTTATTATTTTTAGGTACTTTTCTGCATAGCTGTTTTTGTGTCTATACCAAACCCCTCTCTGGTATTTGTTGTCAAAAAGCCAAAAGCCTTTCTTCTGGCAGCCCTCCCAAACAACTTATGGTTGTGTAGGTGGCGTCTGATTGTAGTTTGAGAGACATTCTTATCCCAAGACCTAACTACTGTCTGTAATTCCACAGCTGTGATCCTTGGAGATTCTTTGGCTGCTCAAACCAAACCCGTTTATTACCCTGATAGTGGAAATGGGCATTTTCAGCTATTTTGTTATTTTCTTGTAGCCGGTCATTTTCTGATTTGTGCAGCTCAGTAACCTTTTGTCATACATCATTACTACATTCTCTTCTTTTTCTCATAGTGAGGGACTTTGCTATTTCAAAAACTGTCTACAGATGGTGCTGTTGTGACAACAGGGACTTCCCTTTCTGCTTCTGTTGTTTTGCTGTATCGAGGGAGATGTCATGGTATCAAATCTGTAATGTAGATGTTTCTGGGAGTTGTATCTTCTGTTTATACTTCGGATTAACAGAGATTATCACATCTAATGTCCCTTATAGAAACCGTGAAATAATTTTGCGTGGCCATGGTTTCTTTTTTCTTTCTTTGTTTCTCCTTCTATCCGTTTATCCGCTGCTTCTCAAACTGAACACATCTGTGCTGACCAGCAAAAAAAATTGTGTTTTTAATCACTGTTTCACAATTTCATTGTTATTTAAATGATTTGTAAGGTCTTACATTTTGACACTTCATTGTAATCATAATTTGTCTTTTTTGCCTTTGAAAAATTTGATTTTTTTGTAAAAAAAAATAAATAAATAAATAAATAAATCAGAAGAACATGAATCTTAAATAGATTTCATGCATTGTAATGTAACTTTGTTGCGAAATCCCTGTACTTGATGGAAGCTTGTTTTTGCATTTTAATTTTTTTTTTTTTTACTTTAGTCTTGTCTTCTGTAAGTGAAATGAGTGCTCAGGGGGTGAATGACTTGGACAGTCAAAAACAGTTTCACTTTTTGGCTCTGAACAACTTCATACTTGGTTTAGTCTGTTTCGAGTTATTCTCCTGCTGCGAGGTGGAATAATGACTGAGTTGTGAGGCACTAAATTGTATCTAAGTGGTTAAGATGCGTTTGTGTACTTCAGGATTCATCCTACTGCTTCAGTTGACAGACATATCACCAATAAGCACAAGGACTATCGTACATGCCTGTGTTTCAGAAATGAGATGATATAATTGACATGCTTCTTATCAGTAGCGCTAATATGTAATGTCTAGTTTATCTGACTTCTGTATTGATATTGACTGTTGTTAGCTGTTAGCTTCAGCTGTTTCTTAGAGCTAAAGTTAAACTAAAGCTTCGTTCTGCTTGAAAAGTAAAGATTATTTGCTCAGTGTAAGTGATTGAAGTGAACCTAAAATAAAAATGGTTAGTTCGTGTTCCTTGTAAATTCACCAGGCTATTAAAAAGGCACAATTCTGCTCAGTTTTGATTACGCCACAGTGCACCAGCGGGCGTGAAAAATAATCTTAGCCAACAATGGCGTGTCTTACTTCTTCCTTCTACAGCGCTCACCCATCAACAAGAGTGCAAAGTGAAAACGTGTTACCCCTCTTACATGGGTAAATAACAGCAGAGCAGTCTCGAATGTCAATGCAGTATTGGTAGCGTAAATGCCCGTAACAATATATATAAACGACGAGATGTTCTCCAATATATCAGTGAGCTGATTTGTTGGTCAGGATTTGTTAAAACTTATATGTCTGACCTTCTCCCTCACCACTTTACCAGTACTCTCAGGTCATTTCAGCTGAGCTGATAACCATTCCTTCATCCAGCCTTCATAGCTTTGGCAAAAAGCTTTGTCAAGATTTGTTTCTCATCTCCTTCCCAAGTCAGACAGTCTAACTCGCTTTCCATGTTTAAATCAAATCTCTTTTGCCTAACTTACAACCTACACCACACCTAATGTAACTTCACTATTATGTCTCATAAAGGTCGCGTACTACTGTCCTTGTTTGTATCCACATGTATCCTCTGGTGTTCTGTGTATTATAATTGAAGAGGTTGGTTTTAAAACGCATTATAAACCATTTTAGGGTCAGTGTCATATTATGATTAATACCACCTTTGTTACAGTGAAATAAAAATGTATTTTCTATTATACATCATCTGTTATGCATTTCAAAAACTCATTGTGTCCAGAATATTTATAAATAAAGGATTTGATAAATGATATGAAATAAATGGATATTTAGCATTTAGGAAAACTCTTCAGTTGTAAGCGTCTTTGTGTTCTTGATGAGTGCTATATGAAAACCATTATTATTGTAATTATTGTAAGAATAATAATAACTATTAATATTAATTAGGCTTGTGAAAGTTAAAGTATTTATTCATCTTCACTTCATGTTAAGTATGTTTATCATTATCATGTTTATCATTTAACATGTGCTTACTCAGAGCCACAACACAGCAACTCTGTGACCCTCTTTTTCATGCCAGCACAGTATTGGTAGATGTCCAGAGCTGCATCTTTGATGCGGCTAAATCTCGCAGATGTGGTTAAATGAATTCATACTGCTGCGCTTTCAAACAAGTATTGTCCTAACAGAAACTCATGATACTTTTAAGGCGATGAACAAATAAATTGCTAGCAGTTTCGCTTGCTATCTGATTGATGTAAGTGCAAATGCTGCTAATTATTACAATTAAAGTTTCATATAATCTTTTTAACATACCTTTGTAGTCATTGTGATTGAGATACAGATGTTCCAAGCTCTGGGGAACGAGGAAGGTTTTAGAGAGTTGGTTATGGCCCAGGTTAAGATCCATCAGTCTTGACAGGTTGAACACATTGTATGGAACTGCCTTTAGTTTGTTGCGCGTCACCCTGATGGACAGGATATTTGGTGTCTTCCTGAAGTAGCCCTCAGGTATTGAGCTGATGGAGTTGTTCTCCACTGACAGCTGCAGCAAGGATGCAGGGAGGTCAGGCGGCATAGACCTGAGTTTGTTGCTGCACATGTTGATTTGCAGGAGGTTCTTCATGCCAGAGAGGGCTCTTCCTCTAATGCCCGCATCTGTAAGTCTGTTGCTGCAAAGGTCGAGCACTGTCATGCTTGATAGTGCTCGAATAGTGTCACCTGTTATCTTTGAGATTTTGTTAAAGCCCAGGTGAAGTCTTTGAAGAGTTTTGGGCAAAGAGGGAGGGACTTCCTCTAAATTGTTGTGCTCAAGGTGAAGGTGAATGAGTTGTTGAAGTTTAGTGAAGGCCTCTCTTTCCACCAGAGAAGACTGCAGTTTATTGTGGCTGAGGTTGATGTCTCTGAGAGATGTAGCATTGGTGAAAGGTTTCGCGGTGATGGCTTCGATCTCGTTAAATTGAACGTAGAGGTGACGGACGTGTCCCGGAACATCTGGGATTGTTTTAAGCTTACGATGGTCACAGTACATTGCAAAGGGGTAAGAAGGAGGGCAGAAACACTCCTTAGCACACTCATATACGTCAAACGTGTAAGTGTACGTGTCTGGTAATGCCTCTTCTGCTGTGACATAGTCCTCATAATGATCTTGACATAGCACTCTTAATTCAGTGAGCAAAATTAGTAGAAGTACTGTCCATATGCTTGTAAAACCCATCGTTTTGATTGTGGTTTATTTTCCCTGTTTGGAACAGAGACACAAAAGAATGTTTTGAGGAGTAAGACACTGTAATCCCATTGGCCAGCACAAACACATTTAAACACATTTGTATCTCTGTTACAGTTCTTAGATACATGTTTTTCCCTGTATTTCTTGCTCATGACTCTAAATAATCTAATCGATCTGCCACAGTATCCAAAGGGCAGTGGGATGCACACACTTGTTTAACAGTAAAACTACTCTCACACAAAGCCTGATGTGCTGTTGCTGAAAGGTACATTTATGACCATCACGATTGGTTACATTATTAATTAAGTAATCTTTACTCAAAGTTACTATGTTAATGACGAACCAAGTGAACCATGTTGTCAAAAAGTAGACAAACAATAAAAATCAGAATCAAAATCTTAATCAGAGATGTTGTGAAGGAGGAGACGGGTCACTCATTGAAATATGAATGGAGAAGCCTACAGCGCTCAACATGGCATCTAACTAAAACAATTCAGTCAGGTTGCTGTTTAAGCTGCATGCGAGAAAATCTCCCCCTCATTTGAGTGCATTTGAGCCAAATGCTACTCTGTTTATGCTGTTTTTGTCCGATTTTATCCATAATTTCAAATATTCAATGTGACTTTAAGTTTCAGTTTTATAGACCTTTTCCTGTTCAAAGAGATAGGAGTCTGGCCTTTTATGACTGGAAATAACTGGGCCATTGCCAAGCTGGCTGCCAAGTGGCCAGACTTTCCTATAAGAACTTAAACCAATGATAAACCATGCATAGCCTTTCAGAGATTCCAAAATACGTTGTTGGAGAAAGATAAACTGGGAAGTCTTCCGAGTCAATGTGAAATGGAAATTGTAATGCATTTGTTACTGTGTTACTGTGACTGCCACTATGTAGTCCTGTCACTCAAAGGCAGTTTTTAAAAGGCAATTTCCATTTATGGCTGTCTTGATCAGTTATTTTCAGCTACTAGAAATGTTGTGAATCAGTTCATTCCGGAAGTATGTTGAGTTTGAAGTATCATTTACAAGCAAAACTGGCTCTGATCAATTATGGAGAAAATAATAAACAGTCTGTTTCTTACTATAAGAAAATTGGTATCTCATCAATGTTGATTCTTCATTAAATTTTTGTAAATGTAGGTTTTTTGGCTGCCTTAATCACTTTGTCACAATAGACAGCACTTCAATAATTTAAACTTGATGTAATAATGGAGATGAAACTTAAAATAGTAGTGCAGCCATGGCATATACAACCCCATTTCCAAAAAAGTTGGTGCAAAATGTCAATAAAAACAAAATGCAATCATATGCAAATCATTTAAACCCTGTTTTTCATTGAAAATAGTACAAAGAAAACAAATCAAATGTTGAAACTGAGAAATGTTATTGTTTTTCAAAAATATATGCACATTTTGAATTTGTTACCAGCAACACATTTCAAAAAAGTAGTGACGGGGGCAACAGAAGGCTGGTAAAGTTGTGTAATGCTTAAAAAAAAAAAACATCTGGTGGTTGATCGGCAACAGGTCAATAACATGAATTGGTATAAAAAGATCATACCAGAGAGGCTGAGTCTTTCAGAAATAAAGATGGGGAGGGGTTCACCACTCTGTGAAAAACTGCACAAGCAAATAGTGCAACAATTCAAGAATAACGTTTCTTAACATAAATTGGCAAAGAACTTTTGCTGTTCATCTTGTACAATACATACATATACATACATACATACATCATCTAAACCGCTTATCCTTCTGGGTCGCGGTGGGGTGCTGGAGCCTATCCCAGCTGTCATTGGGCGGAAGGCAGGATACACCCTGGACAGGTCGCCAGTCCATCGCAGGGCAGACAGACAGACATACACAGTCACACACTCACTCACACCTAGGGGCAATTTAGCACGTCCAGTTGGCCTGACTGCATGTTTTTGGACTGTGGGAGGAAACCGGAGTACCCGGAGGAAACCCACACAGACACGGGGAGAACATGCAAACTCCACACAGAAACGACCCTGGCCGCCCGGCCGGCAATCAAACCCAGGCCATTCTTGCTGTGGGGCGGCAGCTCTACCCACTGCGCCACCGTGCCGCCCATGTACAATACGTGATATAATTGAAAGATTCAAAGAATCCAGAGAAATCTCTGTATGTAAGGGACAAGGCTGAAAAATGGTATTTGTTGGCCGTGATCTTCGGGCCCTCAGGTGGCACTGCATTAAAAACAGACATGATTCTGTAGTGGAAATCACTGCATGGGCTCAGAAACACTTCTGAACACAGTTTGTCGCTGCATCCACAAATGCAGGTTAAAACTCTTAAACGCAAAGAGGAAACCATATATAAACAGCATCCAGAAACCCCACCGCCTTCTCTGGGCCCGGTCTCATTTAAGATGGACTGAGGTGAAGTGGAGAAGTGTCCTATGGTCCAACTAATCAACATTTGAAATTCTCTTTGGAAATCATGGACACTGTGTACTCCAGGCTAAAGACCACTCAGCTTGTTATCAGTGCACAGTTCAAAAGCCAGCATCCGTGAGATGTGAGGATGCATTAGTGCACATGGCATGGGTGACATGCACATCTGTCAAGGCACCATTAATGCTGAACAATACATACATGTTTTAGGAACATGTGCTGCCATCCAGATGACGTCTTTTTCAGGGAAGGCCTTTATTATTTCAGCAGGACAATGCACAACCACATTCTGTATGTATTACAGCAGCATGGCTCTGTATTAAAAGAGTCCAGGTGCTAAACTGACCTGCCTGCTGTCCGGAAGTGTCACTCACTGATAACATTTGGCACATTTATGAAATAAAAAATATGACAAAGGAGACCCTGAACTGTTGAGCAACTGAAATCCTATATCAAAGAAGAATGGGAAAACATTTCACTTTCAACACTACAGCAGTGTCTCCTCAGTTCCCAAACACTTACAGTGTTGTTAAAAGAAGAGGTGATGAAACAGTGGTAAACACGTCCCCGTCCTAACTTTTTTGGAACGTGTTGTTGGCATCAAATTCAAAATGAGCATATATTTTTCCAAAAGCAATAAAATTTCTCAGTTTCAACATTTGATATGTTGTTTTTTTCTCCTATTTTCCTTTAGAATATGGTTTACATGAGTTGCATATCATTGTGTTCTGTTTTTATTTACATTCTGCTCAGCGTCCCAACTTTTTTGGAATCGAGGTTGTAGATAAGTATTGTGTTTCACTTATGCAATTCATCATTTTGAAGTCATTTTGAATGTTGTTCCCTCTTGAGCATATGGACAGAGTTACTTCTTGAATCCCCTCCATGTCTTGGACCACTGATGGATTAGCTCTAGATTCCAGTCCAGGATATATTTATTATTGACAAATTTCTTTATGGCATTTCAGCATCAATGGTCCCTGTTAGTACTGGTATAAAGATTCAGCCCATGATTCAGTGCTTAATCTCCAAGATGCACATTCTCACATCTCTGAAACATGATGTCACCATGCATCGTCACCCTCACCTGTTTTATGTCCACTATGATTTTTGCACAAACTATTGGGCCGCTGATCTCTTTTTAGTGGATGTCACATTCACTGAATTTGGCAGAACTTTGAAAGTTATTTGACCGTTTTCCATCTTGGCTCCAAGAGGCAAACTGTGAGGCCAAGAGTTTATTGTGTAGAGGGCAGCATGAGTGACAGGAGGTCGGAGTGTTTAAAAAGTGGAATTTTGACCAGGTGATGCTTGAAGTGAGTGAGAGAAAACTACAGTTGGAAAGGCATGTTAGGGCACTGATTCTGGGGCCATAACTTATCAGCTTGTCAGGTTTTACAAGCATTGACTGTTGTTTAGTGAATGTGGCTTCATGCACAAGTACAATCAGCAAACAGAATGTAATCATATCCAAACATTTCAGGTATGAAAGCACAAAAGTGTTTTAGAATTGAGAACAGGCATCAGCCATGAGATCACCAAAAAGATGCTCCCTCTTGCACTTTACTGTATAAGCAATAGCGAACACTAACGTATAACAGGTGCCCAAAGGCTTTGATGCCTGGCTTCTCCCTAAGCAATACGATAACACAGGATACACAACTTAAAATGCTATTTTGCATGAATTGTTTATGTATGACACATTTATAAACTATCATTTGCAAAAGATTATAGTTATTCCTTCAAGAAAAAAAATCTTTCTTTGAAATTGCTTGCACTGCTTTGCAATTTGAAGATTGGAACAGCTAAAGAGCACTTGGAAGTGTCTGATGCGAAGCATTATGAAAAACAGTCGAGTAACTAAGTCAGCGTAATAACCTTATACAACATCCCACACCTATTCCTAGAAGAATTCTGCTTCTGCTAATGTCACGTTACATAATCCTGGAATTCATAATTAATAAAGTAGTCCGTCTTTTTTCAACAAGCCTATTGTGTTTTTTTCCACCAGTGAATTAACTCAAAGCACTTAGGCTGAGTGTTGTCCATATAGATATATACAAATAACCAACATAGATTGTTTACATGTTAATAAAAAATGGATTCCTCACTGATTAGTGTGTTACTAATTTCTCAAACATGGTCATGCATTTTGTTAACTCTCTTATGCAACTGAGCATAGGAAGTCATAATAGCATACCTGTATATGAGTTATTCTTCCTGGGCGGTAACAGTGTTGCAATTGAGTTCCTGCAGATGAAAGCCAGATACAGAAGCACTGGGGGATCCTCTCAGGTTGACTGATGTTGCTTTAGGCAAATAGAACTGTTTTTTCTCCTGAGATGAGGCTGAAATATGGCCTGGCTTTTTTTCCTCACAGCAGTCCTGTATGCATTAGAGAGAGATTGAGTTCTGCCTCTTTGCTGGGGAAATGATTCTGGAAGCCTTGGGTTCCATGTGCTCAGTGACCTCAGTCAAGTCTTGTGGTCTCATCTCCTTCTTTTTTTTCCTCCTTTGTTGAGTAGAGGTGAGGCTGCAGTTTCCAGACAAAGCATATGAAGCAGGAACTTCAATGTGCTTTTTCACATATGAACAATAAAACGTGTTATGAAGGAGGGCCACAGCTGTACAGGCACTGCTGTTCATGAGGGTTTTTAACCATTCTTATAGCTCTGATAATACTCAATGTTCATATCCTTTTATTAATAATGGGGAAATAGAATGTGACAAAATTGAGTTAGTGAATTGTTTTGTTCTAATGTTGAGACAGTGTGAAATGCAGATGAAGACAGAAAGCAGTTATTTGCAAATGAACTTTGACCTGTATTTAAATGAAAACAATACAAAGGCAAGATATGTTATGTTTTACTTTATCAGCCCCTTGTTTTTTTGTAAATATAGGCCCATTCTGAAATTGATGCCTCCAGCAAGTTCCAAAAAAAGTTGGGACAGGACAATTTAAAACTTGGAAGATTGTAAAATATTTAAGAAAAACCTGTTAAACAGTTGATGCAGTCATGCTTAGGTGTAAAAGGAGAGTGCAGGAAAGGCCTAGTCCTTTATGAGCAAGGATGGGTCGAGGCTCGCCACTGTGCCAAAAAAATCAGTCAATAAAATAAACACTTAAGAACAATGTTTCTTAATGATCAATTACAATGGTCTTTTACGCTGTATAGTGCATAACATTAAAATGTTCAAGGAACCCAGAGAAATATCTTAATAATATTTAGAGTTTGGCTGCTAGACTGGCTTGCCTGCAGTCCATAACCTACCTTCTAAACTAAGATAATACATTGAATATTGTGGTTTTGTGCCATCTCAAAAAGAATTTGCAAATCACTACTCTGCTTTTTTATTAGCATTTTACATACTGTTCCAACTTTTTTTGCAGTTGAGGTTTCTAAGAAGTTAAGAAACATTCACATGTATGAAACTGTCACCGGGACAGTACCCCTCATGTCGCTGGGGTGGTACCTTCAAGGGTACATCCTCAGTACCTTTGGTCAGGGAACATAATTGTACCATAGTGCATTGGAATTATATTTTCTTAGTCATGTTGACTCCACACACCCCGTCTCGTCTCCAGGCTTTTTATTTTAGGAAAAGGTACAAATATGTACTTTTCCACTGGGAAAAACTTAGGTAAGGTGCACAGTTGGACCTTAAAGCCACTGTTGTACCTTTGAGGGAACATTCATATTGTTTGTACCTTGATAAACGAGAAATGTACCGGCACAGAACCTTTATTTCTAACAGTGTAGTGGTAATGAGTGGTGTGGTACTTGTTACAGCAATTAGGCAAGAAATGTAGAACATCTGGGCCCGTATTTGTAAAGCTTCTCAGAGTATGGGTGCTAAACTAGGCTCAGATTGCTCTCTTGTTTAGGATGACTGCTAACAGAAACCGTTCTTAGATCAGCACTTCTACTCTGAGAAAACACAATAAATAGGAGTGTGAAAGTGAATTGTGACTCAGTACATCGCAATGCAGAAATGTGTAACGATATCAGCTGCATTCTGTTAATCAGGCTGTCTGATGCAGTTGCATTGTTTGAGCATTAAAGGCTGTAGTTAGCTTGTTTTCAGTCGACACCCTCCCTGAGAATGCGCAGTTCATACTGTAAGTGATCTGTCAGAATGAGCTCACATTTCCCTTACGTGCATCACAATCATGTTACACTACTAATGTAGTATTGCAGACTGTACCAATTTCTGTTCATCACGAGTATTTAGCAACTTGTCTGGTCACAACACACGTTACTTAACTACATACAATTTATTAATTCTCTGGTTAATAACTCATTTTGTAAACATAGTTTTCAAGTGAAATAAATGCCATCTGCTTGTCCTGGAAAGCTACAGAACTCGTCTAGTGAGCTAACTCATTCATTCGTGAAATCGGTTAAATGATGCTGTAGCCTGCAGAGCTATAACGTTAATCTGCATATTTATATCACTTATTTTTAGCAATTGCTTATTACTCATTTTAGCTCAAAATAATGGGCTTAAACAAAAACCACATGTTGTTTCTGTGGTGGTATTTTAGCTCTTGGTGAACAAAACCTCAGTTTATCAGAACATCGCCAGACATTTTACACTTTACATTTGCCACAACATTCTGTTGTTCTGTACTGCTCTTCACATTTGAAGGCCACATTTAAGCCAATAATCCATTATTTGGTGTTTAATTCACATCAGTAATTGACTGTCAAAATATTTGTTCTTGCACAGTCCATTGACGTGAACACACATGAATGACAGTGATAATGAAAACTCGTCTGTTAGCGTATTACTGTTTGTAGATGCTGTGAAAGAATATTCTTTAGAAAAAAAACTTACAGCCCACTTATTACAGGCCTCGACAATATACCCACTTTTTCCAGTGTGTGTAATGATTCAGAGTGGATCCTGTGTCTTTTATGACTTTTTTTTCGGTTTGGCTAGACACCGCTCTCAGTAATGACTGTGTCAACAGCAAGGTTTATTCTGCTGTCTGTACAGCAGTTTCTAATGACTTTACAGAACCATCAGTGTTTAGTGTCCAAAAAGTTTTTTAGGGATGTGAAGGACTTAAGAAGGTGTTAAAAAAAGTCTCTCTGGCAGCGATCACTGCTCTTTTTAAATGCAGAACACCTCCTGATCCTACCACCTTTTCAAAAGTTTACAAGCCTTTTTCTAGTGAAGTGGTGGATTTAAAAAAAATGCTAATTTTTAACCCCATCGGTCAGGAAATTGACCAAATATTTTCTCCTCCCCATATTAATTTTGAGCGTTTCTTAATCTCTCGTTTGCTGCTGTGGTTTCAAGTTATAAAAGACTGTCGATACACATTTATTAAAGTCAGTTATTAACTATTTCTATTATATTTGCTTTCTTTTCTGCACTGTTGTTTGTAAACTAAAAACATGATCTCAGTGTAACCCTGCTTTCATCAACTTAACTAGGCTTTCACCAGTAGTGCCACTAGGCTACTGGTTCAATTCATAATGTTTCTAGGAGGGTATAACAGTAAGCGCTTTGCCTGAACATGGTGATGGAGTTTTTGTAACTATTTGTGTTGCTGTAGTGATCACTAGTATGACGCTACAAGGAACGGTAGATTTTTGCTTGTAGTGTATCTAGCTGGCTCTTTCTAACATAGTAAGCTGTCTGACTAGCAAAGTTATGACAATCATTAACCACTGAACTGTAGGCAGTTATGGAGAAATAGAATGAGTTACCCAAGTAAAACCCAAGTAGTACTCTCCTTTAGGCCTGGGAATATCGATGATGGAATCAGATATCTGCACTACTTGACAAGGAACTCTGTGCCAGTGCTTCAAAGATGACAACTGCTATACTGAGAAAGAGAACTGATTAAGAATTAGAGACTTATTTCACTTTAAACAACTTGCTAAATAATATTAAATGATATGTACATGCAGTGTTTTATTACCTTTTACTGTTGAAACAATAGACTATAAGCCATTTGGCTACAATAGAACAAATATCCCACTGTCTCTGCTGTGAGTGTGACACACCGTTTGAGAAAAGCTCCAGTGTTCAGATAGTTTGGAGGAGAATTGTGAAAATACAGTACCTGAATGAATCTATAGCTGAAGAAAACATTTAAAAAATGCTCCCAGATTTATATATATATATAACATCACGCCGTTTCAGCACTCTGAAGTTTCTCCATAAGGGGGAGCTATTAGCACACCAGCTGCTTTTGTGTGTGTCATTTAAAGAGAAGAAACAACCTTGAACCCTCACCAGCAGGAACTCATAAATGCGCTTCAGAAGGAGAGGTGAAATAGTTTAGCATCAAAAAACAGTTACTCAGTATTATATTATTTAAAATGTTCACTATATAATCGATAATCCTCAATCTTTAACAACAAAATATTATAGAAACTATTTTAAGAGATTGTTCAGGCCTACTCCCCTAAGATATTTGCTTTCCCACAGAGGAATGCAGCCTGAGAATCTAAGTTTCTAAGTCATCTGGCTAGATATTACAAAAAGGAAAACTATTTTACTAACTACACACACATACGCGCCCACATTTTGCTTGGATTTGCAGTTCTTAGATAACTTCCAAGCTTCTGTCGTAGTCACTAGAAAAATAGTTAAATGCATAAACTGTTGGAATGTCAGAGCGTCTCATGTTTCTTGTACAGGAATCTGTTTTTTGAGAGGCAGCTGTATGGATTTTAGCAGAAGCTCAGTCAAATGGATCCGTCTCACCCGGAAATCTTATGAAAACATACTTACTCAAATTCAACACAAGTCAAAATACGATGTAAACCAATATGTGAGTGCAGCAAAGTTTTAGCTGTGCAGCTGAGTTAGGCCAGAGCCAACCTCCTTTAAGTTCAGAATCACTTTTCCAAATGCTGATCACAGTTCAGTTTTCTTTAAGAGGATCGCAGTTGCTGGAACTGGTGGTGTTCTAAGGGAATCAGGTCATATGTTTTTCTCAGTAGTCACATGCTGGATAGTCACAGGATGAAAAAAACTGGGAGGCAAATATTGATGTCCCAGTTGCAGAAGCTCAGTAAAGTTGCTGCTAGAGGTGGGTAGCTGTATGTGGAAAATGAAGCATCAACCGACAGGTCAAGATTTTAAGAATCAGTGGAAATATTCTGTAAAATGACTTTCCAAACTGTCATTTGTGTCTTTGGTTCTATCATACGAGCTCTGCGTAACACATGAAAGATGATGCATCTGTTCAAGATGCAGTAAGTATCCATTAATATTCGTACAGTGTTAACGTATTGATAATTGTACAAAACTACTCGTTTATTGCATCATGATCTGTTTCTTCCAAATGGAAACAACGTGACAGCAGAAAGAGGTTTGACGAGAAATGGATTTGGTAACAAATGCTACAGATCTTATAGCAGATGTTTGCTGAACCATGCGATACTTATAAATTCAAGAGCACGTCTAAACGCCTCACTGCCTAACGGACAATATATTAGTATATTCCATATTGTGTCGAAAGAATGCACAAGAGAGGAGAAGTCTAATGGCAAACAAAAGGGTTAATCAGAACAAGGTGGAGAGTTGTTTTTC